TGTGTGTGTGTGTGTGTGCGCGCGTGCGTTTGTATTCTTTTAACGCCTCAGAACAACAGCAGCAGTGTGGAGGTCAGTGAACACCAACAAACCCAATGAGATGCATGGACAAAACAAGAAGTTAAAAAAAAAAGAAAGAGGAGTCCGATGAGGACAAACAGGGAAGTTCTGGAGCGTTATGTAAGTGTGAGACTAAGACAGATTGTGTTTATGTGTGCGATTAGTGGAGCAAAGAGATCTCTAGTCAAACAACTACAATTGATGTAATGAAGTCACTTTTAAAGGTATAAACATGAACTCTTTTAATAATATTTCGCATTCACACTCTATCAGTCCTGTTTACCTTCATACCTGCTTTGACATTTACATCTGCGTGCTTTGTGCTATTTTAACAAGTCAAATGTCAAAGTTCAGCTCTTTTGGGATTATCAGACAAATGCTTTTCATTACTTCTTTATTTAAAACTTAGAATTTATATTTTTTAAACTTTTCTTGTTCTATTTGAAACAGCAAAATAGGTTCTCTATTTTTGTCTTCTAATGCCGTTTTTGTCATTTAACCAGCATTTTGAAACTCTTAGCTTTCACTTAGTCTTTAGCTACTCTTAGATTTTACCTAGTTCTTTTGATATTTTTAGCTAGTGTTTTGCTTCATTTAATAAGGATTTTGTTTCTATGAGCTTTTAGCTAGCATTTCAGTACTTTCAGCTAAAACTTTAAGACTTTTAGCAATCTTTAGCTAGCCTTTGCTATGTTTAGCCTGTGTTTTGCTACTTTTAGTATTTTGTCACACTTAGCTTTTAACAAGCAATTTTACACTTTTAGCTAACATTTGCAACTCTTTGATTTTAGCTAGCATTTTGTTATGCATTAGCATAACAATGCATTATTATGCATTGTTATGCTAATGTATAACAAAATGCATTATGCATTGTTATGCATAGCCATTTTCTAATTTTATCTTTAGTCTAACATTTTGCTTTGYGTAATTAGTAACATGCAACCTGTAGCTAACCTAAGTTAGCTTATTTATATGTCTTTTGCTATGTTTAGATTTTAGCTAGTGCTTTGTTGCAATTAATTTTTAGCAAGTATTTTGTAACTTTTAGCTAAGCTGCTGCTACCTTTACCTTTTAGTTTTTGTTTTAATGTCTAGCTAGCATTTGACTATTTTAACTTTTATCTTTCGTTTTGCTGTAGGTTCTTTTTATCTGTTTACATTTTATCTTGCATTGTTTTTATTTAGCTTTTATCTAATGCTTTGCATCTTTTAGCGTCAACAGCTCAGTTTCAGCTTCTTCAGCAAATTTTTTCAGTCATTCCAGTTCAGTTTTTTCTTTTTTTTTTGTGTGTTTACCATCTTTTCTCCCTACCTGACCCGTAAAGCCTGGTAGGAAACTTTCTTCTGCTGCTTCTCTGTTCATGACCTTCAATGGGATTATGTTGGATTTTGTTTGTTGCACTAAGTTTGCCTAAAAGTTACTGGTACAATTAATGCACAAAAAATGGCAATTTTCAACATGGTCTTGTCTTGCCACGTCAGCAGGTTAGACACTGCATCTGCTGGTTTTTATCTCTCTATAAGGACATTCATTAAACTCAGACAGGTGCTCCTTCCACAGAGTTCAGCTACAGCAAACACACATCAAAAATCAAACACTCCAGGAGAAACATCTATCCACAATCAGCACAAACACTCGCTGTCTAAACATTTGCTTTATGTGAATATAACATCCATCACACATTTTCACATCCACATAATAATTTGAAGTAGAGCGTGACAGGATAATAGCGTGTCCTTGAGTCGAGATAAGAGGGYTGAGCTTTGAGGAGGGTGTGCGATCAGACTCTGGCCGTCATTGGTGGAAAMRTGAATGACAAGAGTTTCCATCTCTGGGAGGTCATATGTGCRTTCTGGCACAAACACMATGTGCCGACCCGCAACACAAACCCAAATACCTGCCAGGAAACAAGAGGGCAAGATAAAAGAGTCCCTGACGAGGCAGCCACGTGACGCGTCTAGTCCCAAATGCACTCATGACTGACGGGAGGGTAAATAAACACGTGTTCCAGTCACAACACACCGCTGAGACAAATGTATGCCCCCAACACACACAATGTTTCCAAACACACACCTCAGACATGCCGAGGGTGTCAGCTACCAAAGAATCTGACCATCTGTTCCWGTGCTTTACTAGAATACCACTCAGAAACAGAAAATGGGAGAAAAGGTTGCTTTTTTCGTTCTGTTGTCACGAATAAACAAAGTACCTTTAAAGATTCTGACACTTTTTTATGAAATTATTTGTATTATCGTGGACAGCTTGTACTTCAATAGCAACATAAACACAAGAAAGTGTTTCTTTTTATGATTTTTCTTTCCAAGGACACATGCTCTTCGTTCTTTGGCCGTGTCGACCTTTTTCCACCTTCTGTTTGAAAACTCTTACGTAATTTTTGGCAGCGTGTGCTGAGCTCTCAGAAGCCTGAAGTCACTCTGTCGGCCGGGGCTGGGGTCCAGGCAGAAGCCCATCAGAGGGCTGCTTATAGCCTCTGTTTCATTTTGAACTCAACGCCATCCCACATCATCACACTCCCACCGTCGTGCTTCAGTTTTAGGTCAGTGCTTCCACTGCCGGCACAGCTTTAAWAAGATTCATTAGAATCTGCTAGAGCTGAAAATGTTTATTTTCATCTCAACTGACAAAAAAAAAAACATTGTTTTAGGTGGAAAAAGTCTCATTGGTACAACGGAGGTACTAGACCTTGAACCACTGTAACCATCGGGATGTTGGTTTAGATAAATCATCTCTGCCTACTTGGTATTAATCCAGTAAGATGGTCCAYGATCAGAAACTCTCAGAAACATTAGATGTGCTTCTACAACTGAGTCAACCTAATTCAAGATGGCTGCCTTTGTTGTTTATGTTTGTTGATGTCGTGTGTCTCACCGTGATCGAGGTGAAGGTCAGGCAGATTCCCCCGATGCCATTCAGGGACACGGCTAAGAAGATGAGCGCCGACAGAGCTGGAGAGAGGACAAACAAGTCATTCACCACCGTACTCCTTGTTCTTGAAACACGTCTTAAATCATAATATTCTTAAGACTCAAAACTAATTTTAAGTTGTTTTTTTTACTTTAAATCCAGATATTCTTCAACTAAAATGTCAAAATATGAGGTAAACTCATAATGAAGAACGCTACTCTTCCAGATCATTTGGCTTAAACTTAAAACCTGTCCTGAAGGGGAATAGTCATGAAATTGCACAATGTGTGATTAAAGATATAAATGTGTCTGTGTGTGTCTAYAGGTGTTTGTTTGTACTCACATGTAGGATTGTAGGCAGTTATAGCCATGATGATGCACGATGCACCAAAACAAGAACTGCAATAAAAGAGGAAGAAATTACTTAAAAAAGGAAAAGAGTGTAGAAACTCTAAGAGGATGTGGTGGCGAGTACTACAASATGACTTAACGTTCGACTCTGGATGAATCATGCTGTCAATATTAGCCTGAAGGCATTTCACACGAGGTAGGTTAAGGTTTTCCTTCACATGAAAATCATCAGTGTGACTCCAGGAGAGGCATGTTTGAGATGATTCTCTACTTTTAACGCACCTGATTTGAATATGAGTCACTGACAGGATTCTTCAGAACCTGACTGGCTGCAGAGCAGGGTGTGAGTTTTTACTGTGTGTGTTTAGACACAGGTCGCCTAGTTTTATCATGATCACGTTAATACGAAAACAAACAACACATCGTGCCACAAGGTAGAAATGCTCTGCTTCTGACTGAACCACAGCAGAAAGAAGGTCTCCAACCACAAACAGACAACCCACGTGGCAGACAGGGGTGGGCCAGCTGTAGTTTGGTTTGTGGCCCAAATCTGTCAATGACATAACTGGCCCAGTTGTGGTTTGGTTTGAGTGGTCAAAATCTACCAATGCCAGAACTGGCTCAGTTGGGGTTTGGTTTGAGTGGCCAAAATCTACCAATGTCACAACTGGCCCAGTTGTGGTTTGGTTTGAATGGCCAAAATCTACCAGTGCCACAACTGGCCCAGTTCTGGTTTGGTTTGAGTAGCCAAAATCTACCAATGCCACGACTGGCCCGGTTGTAACATTGAAAAAAAAAAATCAATAAGGATAGGAGGTACTGGGCAGAACACTGAGAAGTCTGAGTCGCCCTGAAACTACTTTGATTGAGGAACATTTTGATGTTCTCAGTTTTAAGGATGTCACAAACTGAACTGGTCAAATTCATCCACTCTTCTTTCCAAGTGGCCACACCCGCTTCAACTAAAACCCTAATTACAGGTGAAGAAGACCACGCCCCACATCATGATGCTGCCACTACCATGCTTCACTGTGGGTGTGGTGTTCTTTTGGTGATCCACACTCATATTTCTGCCTCAAACGTACCAGTTGGAATTGGGGCCAAAAGGCTTTAGGTTCATCAGACCAGTACATATTTATATCCATATTTTTAGGAAATCAAATATATTTCCTGGAATCTGCATCCAGATCTGGATGATTTTCATTGGCACACAAAGACTCTATGACTTCATAGTTCAGACATATTAATAATGGGGGATTGCTGTCACATGAGGGACAGTTAGTGCTCATCAAAAACTCCTTCGGTGCTGCTGCAGGCCACTTGGCAGCCTCCCAGAACAGTTTCCATCCTGACTTCTAAACAGGTTTGGAGGAACGTCCAGTTCTTGGTAATCAGATATTTGTCCCATATTCCTTTCWTGCTTGACTGTCTTTACTTTCCTCCAAACAGATTTGATTTCAGTTGAACTGAGCCACTTCAAAAGTAGGACAAACTTTTTAATTTTACAAGGAGTGTGTAAAACCAGGGGTGCCCAAAATATTTCCCCGAGAGGGCCAAAATGAAAATTTATCCGAGGGCTGCGGGCCAAATGCAGCAATATAAACACATCAAATACGAATACTTCTTAAGTAAAGTCCTATTATTTTTGATGATTAAGCTAGCAGCCAGTGCTGTGACCCATGTTTTTGACTAACGGCATTATAGTCGTTGAACCAATAACTTTAGGTGGAAATACTGTGTTTCCACATAGGACAACCTACAAACCATGGCAAGTGCTAGTGGGACAAATCAAATGTCTTAGTGGGCCAGTTTTGGCCCACAGGCCMCACTTTGTGCACCTCTGGTGTAAACTTTTCATATCTACTGTGATTCACTAAACCAGAGGTTTAAGGATCCGTTCTTAAGTCTTTTCACTCAATATGAAGAAAGAGGTCTTATTGTTGTTGTTGGAAGCCTGTTCACTTATCTTAAAGGGCCCCACCTGTACAACCTCATTCCTCTGTGAATCCAGGAATGTTGCCCCGCCGTGTTAATGTTTTACTTTTGTCGTGGCAGAGGAAACGTAAAGTAGCGAGGAGTTCAAACAAACGCTAACATCCAACMTGAGGAGCGGGTTTCAATCATAACGCTACCTGCCAAACAGTCGGATGGGCCGTGGGCTGAACCTGTCCATCAGAATGCCGAGCGGCAGCGTCACGGCGCTCAGCAGGAAGGAACCAATGGTGAAGGCCAGATTCAACATCTCATCCTGGTCCACGCAGCTGTGCCACTCGCCTGGGTGTCCGTCGGCAGTGGAGTTCAAGTGCACGACCACAGAGTTGTTGACTGGGTGAACGGAATGCACAACAAGGATTCAGAGAGAGAAACTGCACCATTTAGGCTTTGCTGACTTCAGCAAGACAACGCCAAACACTCAAGAACTTAAAATCCTTCCGTCTTGCTTTTACCTGAGCACAGGTGGGAGTAGAAGCCCTCTCTCTTCAGCATGATGAGAAGAGAGGCCCAGCCCAGCAGGACGGCTGAACACAGCAGGTTCTCTATCACCGCCGTCACTGCCATCCACCAACGCCTCCTGTAGGCCACAACGAGAGAGGGCGCCATGTCTGCTGCTCGACAACAGAAGGGAGAAAAGAATCGACGATTAATCAGAAAATCTTTGTTACATGAAAACATAAGACACAGCAAGAATCACTAACACAGACCCACGTGTATGTATGTATGTGTGTAGGTAAGTAAGTAAGTAAGTAAGTAAGTAAGTAAGTAAGTAAGTAAGTAAGTAAGTAAGT